GCTTTTGGCTGAGACACATACATTCTTTGTCTTGAAAAAGTACCAGAAAAGGAAAAGGGAAACTTATTCCTAATTGGTGGCATCCATGTCAAAGGGCTTCTGCAGTTGTGCTGCACTAAGCTCTCAGTGACGCTGGAGCCTGCTATGGACTAAGAACTGTCTTAGTCCACTGTCCTTCACCACGACAGATGCCCAAGCACCAAGTGGAAAAGAAAACAAATGGAAAAAAAAAAAAAAAAACACAAAACCAGAGACAAAACACCAACACCCCACACTCTTGACAGGGCAGTGGCACTGGGCCAGCCATGACACGAAGGAAAAGAGCCCATTTCTGTTCTAGTGCTCACACTGACTCGGTGGCATGCTACGTGCAGTAGCAGCAGTCCAAGGATGATGATGAGCTTAGTTACTTCAGATGTCAGAACAGCACTACTTAGTTGTCTGAATTATGTCTCAAACCTGTTTCATAAGCCAGACAATTATGAAAAGTATGGTCTAATTATAACCTCGCTTTCTTGACTATAGCTCCTGCACAAAACGCCAGTTAATTTTAAGCAGACAGCTATTTTGTGGCTGCATTTAGCCCCTTGCTATGACTATTGAGGACCAGAGAGAATGGAGACTATTTTTACATATATACATATAATTTAAGTGTGCACATAAATATATATGTACACACATACACGTGTAGGGTGTTTCATTTGCTCACTCACCCTCCCCACCACCCCCAGGCAAATTAAAAAAAAAAAAAAAAGGCAGGGTGGGTTTTTTCCTATTAACTAACTCTAATTAGCTATTTCATTTATAAATGCTCTAATAACACTTTGCTTAAAAAGCACATAGTTCCCTAAAACAGGGAGACAGACATTCTGTTTTATGCTTTAAGAATCTAAACTTTAAAACCAATACTTAATATGAATACTAGCACTGCCACTCAAAGCTAAGCCACCAAGTCAAACATTAGAGGCTCCCTAAGCATTAACAAGTATGAGAACACTCATATGGCAGCCACAGATAAAAGTCCATATTTTTACAGAATAATTAAGATCCTCCTGAAAACAGTATTTCCTCAATGAACGTGTAATGATAATTTTTATACTTAGATGCAAAAAGACACATTGTCAAACCACACATGTGCTGGAGGGGAACATGAATTTCTCCAGACATTTTAATTTTGGTTCACTTTACCCAGGGTTCTTCTATGTGTACAAGTGTGTGAATGACAGAAGAAAACACTTAAATCCCTAAGGATTATTTGCCAGTATGCATAATAGAACCAAATTTTACAGATGCTATCTATGTATAGAGATTTCTCAGGATTTTTAGGATCCAGATGAAGATGTTTGAAGCAGTAGAGTGAGAAATTATGTATTTCTCATCTCAGTGCCTGAGATGAAACATGACATGGTGAAAAAAGGCCATACAACACCTTGACTACAGAAGGAAAGGAGGGTCCATGGCTTTTTCTTGAGTCAAACCACATAGTTACCAGATTAGTAAGAGCCAGATTTTGAAGGATTTGGGAAGTTTGACTTAAGGCATGGAATTTGTTTTCTTCATGCTCATGCACTTGAGGAACTTAAGAGGTAGGAGAAGGGAGACTGAATGTAGTATTACCACTCCGAAATACTGAAGCATCAGCAAACCAGTGCTAATAATAAAATTCTCTACTCCTGAAACTGAAGGCTGGCTTTAAAAATCAAGTAAATGCTACCATGGTATTTCTGAACTTACAGCCATGCAACTGTCATACAGTCAATAATTCCTGTAATCAGAATTTAATACATACATGTTCACAAGCAACTGAAAGAAAAAATTGGTCAAGAGCAATTACATACACTGCCTTTGGTCTAACATATTTTACAGCTACAAGTGACTAGAGCTTGGGTGAGCTCTCTAGGGCAGCAGCACTTCATGTTTCCCAATCCTTATGCTCCCCCTTGAGCATCTGCAAGGGCCACCGACGGAAAACGCACTGGATTCAGGGAGCTTTTAGTCTATCTCTGTACAGACATCCTCCTTTTCTAAGAAATCAAGTATAAAAATTGAGATACCTTTTGGTATAAACCACCACAGACACTACCCTACCAAATCCATCTCATTCTAAGCCTTCTGGAAAAAAATGGGCTTAATTTTAAACCATGTCGTTTTGGTGCAAATGGAAAAGACATGTGTGAAACTAGGATTTATGTTGGTACTACAACTACCCTCAGCTTCTTTTAAAAATTAATTTTACTATGTTGTGGACAGTTCAACTATAAAGAAAACTTGACATAAAAACTATTCTATCTCTCCAAAATATAATTTCACCCCTTGACATTTCTGAAACTGAAAAACTACCCAAAGTAAAATTTACCTACAGTTATTTGTCTCATATTACAGGTGCCAATAATAAAATAATAGTTTTGACTAACTGGGAAAATCTTAGCCTTAGACTTTATTGCCTAAAAAACACCCATTTTGGGGTAATTGCAAGGCTGAGACATATTTGCCCAGGATTTCCTTACAGCAGGCGTATACCGGTAGCACGATGCTTTTGGGAGATGCTATGCCTACGAAGCACACAGACGGTCATGCTGGTTAGCACAGGAGCTGGAAATCCAACCCTTACTGTGTATGTGCAGATGGATTATATAGCACATGTGGAAAGTTGATCTAACATTTTGCACAAGCACCACTGACTGTGGGGTGGTTATAAAGCCACAGTGGGTGTGTTCTTCGTCCCACATTGGGCAGCCAGAGAGGCATGGCAGCTGATAGCAGAAACTGTCACATTCAATCCTGTAAAGCACCTGAACAACTCAGTCCTCAAATTGACTCAGTCAAAATTTCCTGGCTAGAAAAACTAGGTGATATTTGTGATGCTCACATGTATGGTAGCTGTAAATAATAAAATCTACTTGTCCTTTGGTTTGCTTTATGTTACCTTACGTAAGAGAAATTTCTGTACTTTTTAGTTTACAAGCAAACTAAACCCAGAAGACCAGAGGCAATCAAAAAATAACTACAAACCCCTCATTCCCGCGCATTCCTGTAGTTCAATTCAATAGAGGCCGTGCCAATTACTAGCAGAATAAACTATCATTAAAAAATGTAATCACTCACTAAAACCTTTGAGAAAGTCTGAGATGCTTTAAGAACTTTTTTTTGGTTAATTAATGAGAACATTAACCCACTGAGTATCACTGAAGGGCACAGTGGTGCCATGTCAGAAGCTATAAGTGTAACAGTGATAAAGTGAAACAAAGCAGCTAATTAAATCAGGATTGCAACTGGTGGAAAGAGCAACATTGCTTTTTGCCCAATAATAATACAAAAAATGACCACACATACTTGAAGCATTGCTAAATTTCTGAATATAAATAATTTCAAATTATGCATTCTTCACTCTGACTCTTGGACTTCTTTCTAATTACGGAAAATCCTTGCTTCCTTAGTATTACAGTGCTGACACACTACCTGCCTTCAGTTTTACTGCAAAAATTATGTAGGTCTTGGAAGTTATCTGGGACATACATCATAGCCCATACAGATGTTTCAGACTAATATTCATGTTGCCTTTAGTCAAGTCCAAAAGCACTTCTGCAACAGGTCTGCAAAAACATAGAAATTACCATGTAAAGGCCAACTGGAAAACAGTTTAAAAACATAAGGAGGACTTTACGAGTACTCATACAGGTGGTATTTTGTGACCTCCAAATTCTGGTGGTAAGAAACATCGGCAGATGGATTGCCAAAAATTTGTCTGAAGGGAAACAATCTCAGTTTAAAACTTGTCGTTGGTCAAACAGTAAGTTTGAAAAATTTGTATATCCTTATCTCAACTTCAGGTCTCTACTCAAAAAAGTGGAATTTGGGTTTTTTCCTCCATACTTTTGGCTTAATTAGGCCTAAACTCATCAACCAACTCTCCCACTCCTTTCCTGAGGCCTATAAGATGTCCTGCTACATCACTATCTGCTCAATCACTTAAAGCAACATAGTGATCAGAACAACAGGCAGACACATTGAAAAGCTGAATCTCCCAAAGACACAAAACTATGATAGTAGTTGGTTTTTTTTTTTTGAAACAGCAAATCCATTCTCCTAAAAATCTAAC